AGAGAGAGAGAGAGAGAGAGAGAGAAAGAGAGGATCTATAAGTGCAAGTATGCGAGTTTGTGAGGGTGGGTGGGTGAGGCGGATGGGTGGAGGGTAGGGCGAGGGGGAGAGAGAAAGTATGTTGGTAGAAATATCTTCTTGAATACTTGAAACAAATTTTAATGCGCCACGCAATGACGGGGTGGGTTCTGGGGCTGGTATTCATGAAATTGACCAAGCAAGGTGACGAAATTTTAATTTGTTAAGTGTTTTACGGCACTTGCAACACAAAATAGGTCATAGATAAGCCGAAGATTAGAGGTGTTACTAGAGAGAAACATACACAGAAAATAAGGAAGGGAGATGAGGACGATAGATGTTTGGTAGGAAAGAAGGACTATACCACACTAGAGACCACGTCAACCACCCACAAGGCGACGAAGTTCAAGGTTCAAAGGCTTAAGGTCAAAGGGGTCAAAGTAGATGTTACTTGTACGACCTTCTAATATTCTTCTCTCCCCCCTCCCTCCACTCCCTCTCTCATTGTCTGTCTTTCTCAATTTATCTCTTTCACTTTTCTATTGAATGGTCTAGCAACCTGTCTTCTAATAGACCTGTTTGGTATATTGTAAGGAACCAGTACTCAGTGAAAAAAGTCTGACCTGTCTGTTTCTTGTCGAAGAACCACGAAAACGTCCAACCTTCTATGTTTTAAAATGTTTTAGTAAGCGTATTGCGCACTTGCAACACAATTAGGTTATATAAGAGCCGAGGGTTAGAGTTGATACAAGAGAGTAACAAACATAAAAAAGAAGAAGGAGAGATAAGGATGAAATATGTTTGATGGGAAAGATGGAGCAAGGCACACAAGGGTGAGGTTACAAAAAGACAACATCATACTCCTCAACCTAAAAGAAAAACACAAATAATATTTAAAAAGCAACATTGAAAATGAAAAAAAAAAAGAAGAAAAACGACGAAATACACCCCATCAATCCCCCCCCCCACAAGACAACAAAAGCCAAACAACCTTACGAAAAATAATCCCCAGTAAATCTCCAAAGCATGAAATGCATGAACGAGGCGACTCACCCAGGCACATGACGAAGCCAGAGACGAGCACGGCGTAGAACCTCCCTGTATAGGAGTCGGACACCCAGCCTCCCAGCACAGGGAACAGGTACACAAAGCCTGGAAGTAAGAATAGCACAATATTTAATTTGGTTTCTTTTCCTCGATTCTTTTTCCAATAGCACGGGGAGGAGGAGGGGTGGGGTGAGGGAGGAGGATGACAGTGAAAGTAAATAAAATAGAAAAAAAGGTGGGGGCAGTGACAATGATGGCAAATAAAGACAGAACCTACTCCTCCCTCCTTCCTTTTGATCTATCGATCTTCCATTTGGAGTCCAGTAAATATTCACCCCTCCAAATACACCGGGAGATTTTAAAAAAAAAGGGGGGGGGGGGAGGGCAGTGACAATGAAGGTAAATGAAGACATAACCCACTCACTCCCCATTCCTTTCCTTTCGACATTTCGATATTCCAGCGGGGTCAAGAAAACACTCGCTGTTCCAAAGGGCAGACGGCAGATCAACAACCAGCTGTCCAGATGTACATCTACAGAGCCCAAAATTTTGATGAAAAATGTACTTGTGCAGTATCTTAATCTATGATGTCGGTTGCATGTGCTAATAAAATGCATGTTACTTGTCAAAATTCAAATTCTATGTGTTGAAAACGGCAAGAAAAATACAAAACTCAAGAACAAATTTTAAAGAATGAAACACTATTTCATTATTCTTCTGAAAGATTTTGCTTTCCGGGCTAAGAATAGTTTTATAGCTTGTTGACAATATGGTTTTGTCACTTCCAAGAAATACTCTTTATTTATAACTTGAAATTCTCCGGGCACTCATCCAAATAAACCAAGGGCTGGTTTGTCAACATAAAGTTTTCACCAGATTACATTTTAGGCTTATAATATAAAGGGTAAAAAATACACTTATGCCCTTTTGCCCTGTCCTTTATGCCATGATATAAAAAGAACCCCAGCATGTCAGTCTAACTCCTCCATTTTTTTCATATATTATTCTTTGTTCGCCGACGCCAGCTTAAGACAACGTTTGAAAGACTTAGCGCTTTCGTAAACTCGTCATCTGGGCGAGCTGGTGCCACATCAATAGACGCTGCATTGCAGAAGGTAGGCTGACAAAGGTGCTTGAAAAAATTCCTTTTGTGATTAATACAATTACATGTCTTTTACGCCCCTGTCTCATAAGATTTCCCGGGACGCGATGATGGTTTCACCCTCTGCCCCGCCCCCTTCCTGCTTCCCTGCCCCTCCCTAGCCCCTTCAACCCACTACCCCCCCCTCACCTCAGCCGTATCTCACCCACCTTTCCGCTTGAGTGGAGTTTAGCAGTTTGCACGAGCGCACCAGGTTTAATGGCCAACCTTTGATAATATACTTTTTTGCCTCCTTCAAATTGCTCGTGAATTTTATGAAAAGAGGAGTTAAAAAAATGCGTCCACGAAATAGAGTAATGTGTTCGATATGAAAAAGTCCTTTCTGTCCGCTAATGCCACCTAGGTGTTTGCACAGGGCACACACTCGCTGATTGCCGTCAAGCTATGACATGGTAAAAATGACTTCTTTTCTCGGTACGTCTGACTTGCAACAAGACGACTTCCTGTTCAGCGAGTTTTTTTGCGTGCACACTTTTTTCTCTTTTTGTCCATTTCATTTTTTTGCTAAAATGCAATAGCGCCCCTTTCAGCATTTCGCGAGGGACTTGAATTTGTGATTTTTTTTTCAATTGCGAAAAACGCAAACCCAAACAAACAAACAAACAAATAAACAAACGAACAAACAAACCAAAAAAACGAACAAACAAAAACAAACCGTTGTGCAGTGATCCTATCTAATTTGCAGACAGAGAATTTGTTATAAAATATGTCGTGTAGTTTCACGGGTACTCTGTGAGACACAACAACAAGTTCTGTCTGTTCTCAACAACAATTACGTGGGCAGGTGATTGGATGACGCCACCGGTAGGGTGCCTGCTACTTCTCTCTCTCTCTCTCTCTCTCTCTCTCTCTCTCTCTCTCTTTCTCTCTCTCTCTCTCTCTCTCTCTCTCTCTCTCTGTCTCTCTCTGTCTCTCTCTGTCTCTCTCTGTCTCTCTCTGTCTCTCTCTGTCTCTGTCTGTTTCTGTCTGTCTGTCTGTCTGTCTGTCTGTCTGTCTGTCTGTCTGTCTGTCTGTCTGTGCTTTTCGGTCTGTCTGTTTTTTTCTTGGTTTCCCCCGCCCCGCACCAAATGACCGTAATGGTGTCGAGGTGCTCCTCTTTAGACAACCGTGGGCTCAGATGGCCAGACAATTGGCGTAGTATAAAGGGACCATTGCAAACATTTAATTTGTGCTCGCAGCTACCAAGCTGTGATTTCTAAAAATGATGTAAACGTTCTACGCCCTCGTCGAAACAAATTATATAATAATAATAAATGACATTTATATGGCGCTCAACCCCGAATAAAGTACACAGGCTCTGAGCGCTTTACAATACAGTACAACATACAACAGTAACATGAGACGTTGTGTTCTGACTAAAGAAAATTATTCCAAATATTCATCTTATTAATTTAAAAACAGAAACGACTTCAGCTGACATTTGAATGAATCAAAAGATTTGATTTCTCTCAACGTACTTGGTAAAGCATTCCAGATCTTGGGGCCTTGGTATTCAAATGCCCTTTCACCCATTGTTTTAAGTTTCATAGATGGTAAAATAAATTTCTTTTTGTCAGCTGATGATCTTAAACTGCGAGTTGGAATGTACAGTCTTAACAGATTTGATAAATATGATGGTGCATTATCATTCAAACATTTGTGACATATGGTGGCCAACTTGTACACAATCCTTTTCTCAACAGGAAGCCAATGCAAAGTTCGTAAAAGAGGTTTAGCAGAGTCTCGCTTTCTTTTCCGTAAAACTAAACGTGCTGCATTGTTTTGGACAGTTTGAAGTCTTTTAACTTTCTCCAGTGATATTCCTGATAACAAAGAGTTACAATAATCGAGTTTTGATAAAATTAAACTAGTTACTAGTAAAGCAGTATATTTGGTATTGATCAGATGACGTATTTTACTAATTTTTCTTATTTCTAAATACATGCAGCTGATCAGATGATTTACCTCAGCCGACATTGACAAACTAGAATCAAAATAGATGCCAAGATTCTTAACTTTTCTTGAAAATAAAATTTTTGCATCACCAATTTTAATGTGATCATGGTCAACCTCTTTAACAGACTTTGCACTGCCTGCCAGAATGACTTCTGTTTTATTATCATTTAACATCAATTTATTTTTTTTCATCCAGTTTTTCACTAAGGCAATACAATTTTCAGCACGATGGACAAGTTCATCTAAGTTGGTAAACAGTTATACATAAATTTGGGCATCATCAGCATAGAAATGGTATTTTAAGTCATATTTAACTATTTCCTTGACAAGTGGTTGAGTATAAATGGTGAACAAAACTGGACCGAGGACTGAGCCCTGGGGGACCCCATACTTAAGAGCATGATCTGATGACTTAAGCCCTTTAATAAAAACAGATATAATATAGGAGGCTGGTCATATTATATGTATGGCAACGTGGTGAAATAAGTCGCTAGTCAAAAGAAAATGAAATGGAAGAAATCAACAATTTTCCGCCCGTTGGTCAATTTTCATCAATTCATTTTTGGCTGAACACCCTTTCAATCCACTTAAAAAGACATTCCTTTGCGGATTTTTATTTCGAAAAACGATGATCTAAGGCACAAAAATGTAAATTTAGAATTTTCAAGAACACTCAAGCTTGGGAAGTAACCGAACTTTGACGGCCATTTTCTCGCTAATTTCACCCCTGACACCAGCGACCCACACTTTCTCCAATCGCAAATACCTCGAGTTTTATTCATGATAGATGGGTATTTCATCTACTAAACTAAAAACAAGATGGATATACAAGCTTGAAGATTGTACCGTTAACTCCGTTGGCCCAAAAATTAAATTGATAAGTACCTGATTCTACCGCGTCATGACACATTTGCGCTCGCTGCTTACTTTACTGCAGGTTCTAAAATAGTGAACCTTTCCCAACCTCGTCCACAGAGCTTATATTATGATTTTGAAGGCAAGTAACAATTTATAATTGAAAGGGCAAGCTGCTTCGACTTCGCCCGCCACGGCTGACCCGGGTGGAGCAGGGTACAACATCCCAGAACACGACGGAGACATTCAGTTAAAAAAAAAAGAACTTCTTGGGAATCGAGCTCAAGTCTTCTGCCGAGAACAGATAGCCTACACTACAGATGCCGGTGCACCTTGCTATGAGGGAGGCGAGAGAGTCGCTAATTCAGTTGACATTATGTTCAACTTCTGTGCAGGTGACTTAAAAGAGGAAACAATAATGAAACGACACCCCAAAAAATGCTAAAAAACATAATCTCCCCCCACTCTCCATCCCCTGATGAGAAAGAATTAAAAGAAGGTTCTTATTGTCAAAGCTAATAATTAACTTGAGGCGAAAGGCACTTGAAAGTAAACTTATTTATACCATATAAGAGAGATCTTAAATTAGATCTTTAAATATTATGTTCAAATATTTTTCTTCCATTGTTTCAATTTCTTGAGGCCGAGCCGATTAAAGTGCTACTGATAAGTGTGATGCCCATTTCATTTAAACCGTGAAAACCATGTAAAAAGAGGAAAAGTTTGTGCAAAGAAAGTGTAGCCATTTCAACCCTAATCATTCCTTCGATATTGTTAAGAAGTTGAAATGAACCTCTTTCGTTTCAATTTTACGTAGCTTTTGTATAGTCAGTATTTCAGGGGATGAGAAGTCGAATAAGATATTATATGATGCCTTTGATTTTATATCCTTACAGAAAAAAGGGCACAGTATTAAATCGTCCTTTTTGGCCGTACATCATTTCTTACAGTTAATAAAAGTATTGTTCAATAAAGAAAAAAACCTATTTGCTTCCAGCTTTATTCGGAGTTTTAACAATCTCTTTAGACGATGTACATCATGTATATGTCAAAATACTGAGTCCCATTGTAAGAAGTCGGAAATCGGAGAGCTCTGTCTCCAAGAGCTAGTTCTTTCTGTTCCATTAAACGATGCATTATAGTGCCTGTCTTTACACAACTTGCCAATGTCTTCCGGTTTTTAAAGCTGGACAGTTATCAAAGATGGTGAAAAGGAAATAGAAACATTAGAAAGGAGGTTCCCGATTTACAAATTTCACGGAAGGAAAGAAAATTAAATGTCGTAGTGATGAAAGAATCCCACGTAGGCCGCTCACTTATAAGAACAATTAGGAAGAGACAGTGCAGGTTCTGGGACAACTGAATCAACATAAAGTCGTTGAACATAACACTGATCCCATTCAAAGAGAAGGAGAAGACAAACGAGACATGGCAATTTATCTGAAAAAAACCCTGAAAGGATGCTTGACGTGGAAAGACTAGAATAATAACAACATAATAGTTTAACATTTTCAGAACATACGAGCAAAGAAATGAATAGAAACCCATTAGTTTCGATATCTGTTTCCAGTCACATAGCATTTTCTGATAATGAGGGTGCAGTCGAACCTACTCAAACGGCTACATGTCTAAGACAATCACCTATGCAAAGGATCACGTATCACTTCACCCTTGCGTTATTTAAAAATATTGAAACGACACTGTCTAAGACGCCCACCTGTCTAATGCAAAACACTTTTCTCCTCGGCAATGGGTGGTCGTCTTGAACAATTTCAACTGCATTATATAATAATAAAGTCGTATATATTTACCTAAGAAAACCAGACTGACTGTGGTGGCGTTGACTGTGTCGAAGCCCAGGTTGCTGGTGCAGAAGAGGATCATGTTACTGACCACGCCGTAGAAAGCTGTCCGCTCCATGAACTGGGCGAATAGGATGACCAGTGCCGCGGTCAGTGTACGCCTCTTTAGCGAACTGTGGGAGAGCAAAGATATAAGAACAATACGAAATCTTTACTGGCCGCAGAAGGTAGCAATTACGGTGTGTAATGAAATATAAGAATATATTAAAATCTATAGAGGTGTGATACAAGGTTGTGTCCTCTCTTCCTATCTTTTTAATATCTAGACAGATTTTAGTTTTAGAGAATCTCAAAACCTGCAAGGAGTCACTATTGGGGGCCGCAACATCAGTATCCTGAGATAGACAGACGATACAGTACTGCTTGCAAACACAAACGAATATCTTTCTAAAATTGTGAAATTAGTACAAGTGAACAGCAGCAAGGCAGGCCCCGACATAAACGCCAAGAATACAAAAACAACGGTCTTATCAAAATCTTCTGGAATAAACAACAGACATAACCTTAGATGGGGAGAGAATCGAACAAGTGCACAAATTCAAGTATCTAGGGGCAACAATCACAGATGGTGGAAGAAGTGAAAAAGAAATAAACATAAGAACAGCAGCTGCACAATCAAGATTCAGCTAAATGTACAAACTATTTGAATCCAGGGAACGATCTCTCACTTTAAGAAAGAAAATGCCGGAATACTACATCTTCCCCATATTTTTATATGGCGCAGAGACCTGGACTTTGATAAGGAAAAACGTAAACAAAACAAACGCGTTTGAGATGTGGTGTTATCGTAGAATGGCCAGAAAAAGTTGGGAAACAAAAAAGACAAACAAAGAGGTGTGTCAGATTCTACACACAAGACAAACCCTGCTGAACAAAATAAAATGCAGAAAAATACAATATTTATAAAGACTTATAAGGACACGAGACCATTGTTAGATAGGGGTTTGTAGGAAAGATGTGTGGCAGGAGAGCCAGAGGAAGACAAAGAATAACATGGATGGACAGCACAAGAACTTGGACTGGCCTGGATAGGACAGATGTGCAACGGCAGCTAGCGACCGTGAAAGATGAAGGGTCATTACACGTCAACCTCTGAGTCAGAGATGATACCTCCATGAAATCTAGGTATCTAGGGGATGGGGGAAGGGAGATTGTTTGTGTTTGTTAGTGTGAGGGGGTGAGGTGGGTGAGAGGGAAAGAGGGAGAGAGAGGAGGAGGGAGAGCGACGGAGAGAGACGGAGAGAGAGAAGGAGGGAGAGGAAGAGAGAAGGGAAGAGAGAGAGAGAGAGAGA